AATTGGGGGACTCAAAAATTCAATCCGTGATTTGACCTTTAAGGTCAAATATTTTTAATAAGGTATATATTAGGGAACTCGAGTTTCTGACCCTAGCTATCGATTGCGACCATCAGAAATTGGATCGGACGATCGGTGTAGAAAAAATAGGGGGATTCAAAATTTCAATCCGTGATTTGACCTTTAAGGTCAAATATTTTTAATAAGGTATATATTAGGGAACTCGAGATTCTGACCCTAGCTATAGAATGCGACCATCAGAAATCGGATCGGACGATCGGTGTTGAAAAAATTGGGGGACTCAAAATTTCAATCCGTGATTTGACCTTTAAGGTCAAATATTTTTAATAAGGTATATATTAGGGAACTCGAGTTTCTGACCCTAGCTATCGATTGCGACCATCAGAAATTGGATCGGACGATCGGTGTAGAAAAAATAGGGGACTCAAAATTTCAATCCGTGATTTGACCTTTAAGGTCAAATATTTTTAATAAGGTATATATTAGGGAACTCGAGTTTCTGACCCTAGCTATCGATTGCGACCATCAGAAATTGGATCGGACGATCGGTGTAGAAAAAATAGGTGGACTCAAAATTTCAATCAGTGATTTGACCTTTAAGGTCAAATATTTTTAATAAGGTATATATTAGGGAACTCGAGATTTTGACCCTAGCTATCGAATGCGACCATCAGAAATTGGATCGGACGATCGGTGTAGAAAAAATCGGGGGACTCAAAATTTCAATCCGTGATTTGACCTTTAAGGTTGAATATCCGTGATTTGACCTTTAAGGTCAAATATTTTTAATAAGGTATATATTAGGGAACTCGAGATTTTGACCCTAGCTATCGAATGCGACCATCAGAAATCGGATCGGACGATTGGTGTTGAAAAAATTGGGGGACTCAAAAATTCAATCCGTGATTTGACCTTTAAGGTCAAATATTTTTAATAAGGTATATATTAGCGAACTCGAGTTTCTGACCCTAGCTATCGATTGCGGCCATCAGAAATTGGATCGGACGATCGGTGTAGAAAAAATAGGGGGACTCAAAATTTCAATCCGTGATTTGACCTTTAAGGTCAAATATTTTTAATAAGGTATATATTAGGGAACTCGAGATTTTGACCCTAGCTATCGAATGCGACCATCAGAAATTGGATCGGACGATCGGTGTAGAAAAAATCGGGGGACTCAAAATTTCAATCCGTGATTTGACCTTTAAGGTTGAATATCCGTGATTTGACCTTTAAGGTCAAATATTTTTAATAAGGTATATATTAGGGAACTCGAGATTCTGACCCTAGCTATAGAATGCGACCATCAGAAATCGGATCGGACGATCGGTGTTGAAAAAATTGGGGGACTCAAAAATTCAATCCGTGATTTGACCTTTAAGGTCAAATATTTTTAATAAGGTATATAAAAGGGAATTTGAGTTTTTGACCCTAGCTATCGATTGCGACCATCAGAAATTGGATCGGACGATCGGTGTAGAAAAAATAGGGGGACTCAAAATTTCAATCCGTGATTTGACCTTTAAGGTCAAATATTTTTAATAAGGTATATATTAGGGAACTCGAGATTCTGACCCTAGCTATAGAATGCGACCATCAGAAATCGGATCGGACGATCGGTGTTGAAAAAATTGGGGGACTCAAAAATTCAATCCGTGATTTGACCTTTAAGGTCAAATATTTTTAATAAGGTATATATTAGGGAACTCGAGTTTCTGACCCTAGCTATCGATTGCGACCATCAGAAATTGGATCGGACGATCGGTGTAGAAAAAATAGGGGGATTCAAAATTTCAATCCGTGATTTGACCTTTAAGGTCAAATATTTTTAATAAGGTATATATTAGGGAACTCGAGATTCTGACCCTAGCTATAGAATGCGACCATCAGAAATCGGATCGGACGATCGGTGTTGAAAAAATTGGGGGACTCAAAAATTCAATCCGTGATTTGACCTTTAAGGTCAAATATTTTTAATAAGGTATATATTAGGGAACTCGAGTTTCTGACCCTAGCTATCGATTGCGACCATCAGAAATTGGATCGGACGATCGGTGTAGAAAAAATAGGGGACTCAAAATTTCAATCCGTGATTTGACCTTTAAGGTCAAATATTTTTAATAAGGTATATATTAGGGAACTCGAGATTTTGACCCTAGCTATCGAATCCGACCATCAGAAATTGGATCGGACGATCGGTGTAGAAAAAATCGGGGGACTCAAAATTTTAATCCGTGATTTGACCTTTAATGTTGAATATCCGTGATTTGACCTTTAAGGTCAAATATTTTTAATAAGGTATATATTAGGGAACTCGAGATTCTGACCCTAGCTATAGAATGCGACCATCAGAAATCGGATCGGACGATCGGTGTTGAAAAAATTGTCGGTGTAGGAAAAATCGGGGGACTCAAAATTTTAATCCGTGATTTGACCTTTAAGGTTGAATATCCGTGATTTGACCTTTAAGGTCAAATATTTTTAATAAGGTATATATTAGGGAACTCGAGATTCTGACCCTAGCTATAGAATGCGACCATCAGAAATCGGATCGGACGATCGGTGTTGAAAAAATTGGGGGACTCAAAAATTCAATCCGTGATTTGACCTTTAAGGTCAAATATTTTTAATAAAGTATATATTAGGGAACTCGAGTTTCTGACCCTAGCTATCGATTGCGACCATCAGAAATTGGATCGGACGATCGGTGTAGAAAAAATAGGGGGACTCAAAATTTCAATCCGTGATTTGACCTTTAAGGTCAAATATTTTTAATAAGGTATATATTAGGGAACTCGAGATTCTGACCCTAGCTATAGAATGCGACCATCAGAAATCGGATCGGACGATCGGTGTTGAAAAAATTGGGGGACTCAAAAATTCAATCCGTGATTTGACCTTTAAGGTCAAATATTTTTAATAAGGTATATATTAGGGAACTCGAGTTTCTGACCCTAGCTATCGATTGCGACCATCAGAAATTGGATCGGACGATCGGTGTAGAAAAAATAGGTGGACTCAAAATTTCAATCAGTGATTTGACCTTTAAGGTCAAATATTTTTAATAAGGTATATATTAGGGAACTCGAGATTTTGACCCTAGCTATCGAATGCGACCATCAGAAATTGGATCGGACGATCGGTGTAGAAAAAATCGGGGGACTCAAAATTTCAATCCGTGATTTGACCTTTAAGGTTGAATATCCGTGATTTGACCTTTAAGGTCAAATATTTTTAATAAGGTATATATTAGGGAACTCGAGATTTTGACCCTAGCTATCGAATGCGACCATCAGAAATCGGATCGGACGATTGGTGTTGAAAAAATTGGGGGACTCAAAAATTCAATCCGTGATTTGACCTTTAAGGTCAAATATTTTTAATAAGGTATATATTAGGGAACTCGAGTTTCTGACCCTAGCTATCGATTGCGGCCATCAGAAATTGGATCGGACGATCGGTGTAGAAAAAATAGGGGGACTCAAAATTTCAATCCGTGATTTGACCTTTAAGGTCAAATATTTTTAATAAGGTATATATTAGGGAACTCGAGATTTTGACCCTAGCTATCGAATGCGACCATCAGAAATTGGATCGGACGATCGGTGTAGAAAAAATCGGGGGACTCAAAATTTCAATCCGTGATTTGACCTTTAAGGTTGAATATCCGTGATTTGACCTTTAAGGTCAAATATTTTTAATAAGGTATATATTAGGGAACTCGAGATTCTGACCCTAGCTATAGAATGCGACCATCAGAAATCGGATCGGACGATCGGTGTTGAAAAAATTGGGGGACTCAAAAATTCAATCCGTGATTTGACCTTTAAGGTCAAATATTTTTAATAAGGTATATAAAAGGGAATTTGAGTTTTTGACCCTAGCTATCGATTGCGACCATCAGAAATTGGATCGGACGATCGGTGTAGAAAAAATAGGGGGACTCAAAATTTCAATCCGTGATTTGACCTTTAAGGTCAAATATTTTTAATAAGGTATATATTAGGGAACTCGAGATTCTGACCCTAGCTATAGAATGCGACCATCAGAAATCGGATCGGACGATCGGTGTTGAAAAAATTGGGGGACTCAAAAATTCATTCCGTGATTTGACCTTTAAGGTCAAATATTTTTAATAAGGTATATATTAGGGAACTCGAGTTTCTGACCCTAGCTATCGATTGCGACCATCAGAAATTGGATCGGACGATCGGTGTAGAAAAAATAGGGGGACTCAAAATTTCAATCCGTGATTTGACCTTTAAGGTCAAATATTTTTAATAAGGTATATATTAGGGAACTCGAGATTTTGACCCTAGCTATCGAAAGCGACCATCAAAAATTGGATCGGACGATCGGTGTAGAAAAAATAGGGGGACTTAAAATTTCAATCCGTGATTTGACCTTGAAGGTCAAATATTTTTAATAAGGTATATATTAGGGAATTCGAGATTCTGACCCTAGCTTTCGAATGTGACCTTCAGAAATCGGATCGGACGATCGGTGTAGGAAAAATCGGGGTCTCAATTTCAATCCGTGATTTGACCTTGAAGATGACCTTGAAATTTGCAATGAATACGATATTCGGAATCAGCGTCCCAAACTGCATCGGATAGGTTGGGTTTAGTTGAAATTCGGACTCGACGCTGAATCCGTCGCGGAATACGACGCTAACTTCACGGACGTTGTTGCAAAAGAAAAAAATACCGAGACGCTTTTCCGATAATCTGTCAAATGCAATGACTAGGCCTAAAAAGAATGACTGGCATGACAGCAATGTTCGCTGCGTTGTTTACCGAAATTGCTAAACCGCCTCACGCATGAAAGTGTCTTACCGGTATTACCGGTCTTACCGGTCTTACCCAAGAGTCTTACCGGCGGTAGGTATTTTTTATGAAGCTAGAAATTTGGTAGCATATGGAAGCGATTTGAAAAGACAAATAAGACAGCCTTTTGACGTTTCTGGCGCAGCTTTTTGCTTTGCGGCTCTTTTGAATTTCTCAAACTGTTTACTTCTTACTAAGGGGCCCTGGCTATCTCTTCTTACAGGTTAAAATTGAGGAATATTGAGATGTAATTCCATTTCAGGCATTTCAATTTTGTGCTACGCGGGCTTCTCAAGTACTTTTGCTCATAAGGTCAAGGCCAAAGCTTTTCCTCACCATACAAAGCAATAATTTCCAGAGTAGTCCTAGCAATACAAATAGTGGCCTGATTAGGAGAAAACAAATATGATTTTTTTTTTATTAAGTTGCCACTTCATCAGATACTCCCATGTATGGCCTTGCAGAGAATGGTTGAGTAATATTCAGCTCAGGTATTTACAGCTCAAAACATATCAATATTGCATTTAGAAATATATTTATTTTTCAAGCAAGCTCCAAGGACGACGTGAAAACAGGGTGCCTGGGGCGAGTTGATCAAAGCTCTTGAAATTCACTCGCACAAACCTGAAACCACGTGACATTTACCATGTAGAAGGCATAGAGAGGAGAACTTCTTAATGGTCCCGTGACCAAATATGCCCTCCGGCGCCCTGTTTTCACCGGCATCCAGCTTCAACCATTGCATTTAAACTATAATTGTATTAAACTATGTTGTTATTACCGGTATTAACACTGTATAATTTGTATCTGTTCATTTACAGGTTGAGGTGTGCCTGGCAAAATGTTGGATACACAAGACAGTGACGAAGATAAACAGAATGTACTTGTTGCAAAAATAGACAATGTGAAGAATGTATCACAGCTTTTGAAAGCAGTACATTTTAAAGAGGTAGGTACGTCTGGTACGATATTGAATGCAACTCTTTATATTTTAGAAGCCAAAAGGTTGTTAAGAATAGATCTATTCCTGCACACTTGTGGATGACTTGATAACTAAGACTCAAAACAAACTGGGAGCCTGAAAATTGCAGGATGCAGGTTGTGTGATATTTTTTTTTTTTTTTTTTTTTTTTTTTTTTTTTTTTAGTGGCCCTAACTTACGTTACCGGCCTCGCGAGGAGGGCGGCGACCTAACTACGCCGCGCAAAACAAACCGGCCGTCCTAACTAAGACCGGTGGCCACTTTTACAGCAAGACAACATGGGAAAACCCATATCCATGTACTATGCCATGAATATGGGAAAAAACCCATGAATTTACGTTAAGACACATAAATGACAGTGAAACTTACCGGTAAATTGATGTTTGTGAAGGGAGGGAAGGAGGAAGTTTGTGAATGGTAAGGTTACGAGAGTTTGATGACAGGAATGGTTTGAAGAGTGGGGGATATGTCGCTGGGAGGGATGGGGTTTGTGAATGTTTAAGCGTCACGATGAAAGGAATGGTTTGGAGGATGGGGAATCTGTCGCTGCTGCAGTTGGCGGCCGACGGTTGTCTGTGGTCGTTCAACCCGGCCGCCGCCGCTGTTCAGCGGCCGGGGTCCGCTGGTGTAGCTCGCTGGGCCGCTGAGCCTCTAAGCCTGCTCCAGCGGCAGGAGAAAACCCGTCTGCCACCGAAGCTCTGTGTTTCGGCACCAGCGAAAAACCCGACCCATCCCGTATCACAAGTCAGCCTGGTGGTAGCGAAACGGGCGCCTGCTAACAGTCAAGGCCGTTAAAGTAGCTCTGAGTAGGGTGATGTTAGGACGAAATCAAGTACCAGGTTTGTCAATGTTGTGTCGTCCCCGAGAAGCGTCGGGAGGTCGTTTTTAAGGTGTTGTACCGCAAGATAGTTAGTGATGTGTCTTCGTTCGTGATGCAATGCCGTGCATGCGATCAAAATGTGCTCTACGGAGATGCGTGTGTCGCAGGTGTGGCAAATCGGAGGGCCCGTCCTATCAAAAAGGTGGCCATGGGTGAGGCGAGTATGACCACACCTCAATCTGGCCAGGGTCACCTCGCGTATCCTGTCTGGTTGGTTACATGTGACCCATGTTCTAAGTTCTCGTTTGATCGCATACATATGTGCAGCATGATGTTGGTCCCATTTGCGTTGAAGGTACTCGGCGAATTTGATTTTTATCATATGAATAGCGTCCCCTTGGGCCATAGGTTCCACAACTGGATCAGGTCGCATTGCAGCCTCCTTTGCGAGGACATCCGCACGTTCATTTCCTGCAATACCGTAATGACCTGGAACCCAAAGAAGGGTCACATGCTGGCCCTCATTGAGATCTGATGTGATCCTGAGAATATTGTAGATACCGTGGTGGGTAACATTATCGGTCCTTTCCAGTGCTTGAAGAGCGGATTTCGAATCAGTACAGATGGTTGCCCGATCAATCTTTTCTGCCTTGATGTGCTCCATAACTTTTTCGATTGCGTGAACTTCGGCACTAAAGACTGTCGTAAATTCTTGAAGCCGGGTCCCAAACCTAAGCCCAGGGCCGACGGCTGCTGAACCTATCTGATTTTCGTGACATGAGCCATCTGTGAAGAAAAAAGCAGAGTCGCAGTTGAGCTCTACATACTCCTGGAAGAGCATTTGAGCTTCCACCGGAGGTATACTGGTCTTCTTATAATCAAAAAGAAATTCAATGGATAGGTCTTTGAGGAGCCAAAATGGAATCATAGGAGGATTTAGAGTAACTTCAGTGCGCCTAATGTTTAGCAGTTGATGAGCTTGCTCAAGGCACCCGGGTAGAAAGCACGATCTACGCAGTGGGCGTCGGGTTCTTGGTTTCCTCGCCTCCATTGCTGGTACCGCAATGTGATTTCGAACACTTTTTGCTCTGTAGTAATAGCGGAGGAAAAGAAAGACGCGTCGGTCATCAAGTGCTGGAATGCCGGTATCTGCACGAAGCGCAAGAACTGGCGATGTGCGAAAAGCCCCAGTTAGAAGTCTCAAGCACGTTGATTGAACGGCTTCTAGACGTTTGCATAAACTGGGCGACAGTGTGCTAAACAGATAACAATTGTACTCAATCGTAGATCTGATTAGCCCAATATACAACATTTGCAATGTTTTCCTGTCCGCACCCCAAGAAAACCCACATATGCATCTTAGGACATTGATTCGTTTAATACAACGTGCTCTTAGGTGCTCAACGTGTTGACGGAAGGTTAGATTAGTATCCAAAATGATCCCTAGAAATTTGTGTGACGTGGAAAAAGGTATTTTAATCCCATCGATGTGTGGGGATCTTTCAAGCGATGGACGGGGTCCACGTTTGAAGACCATCATGACTGATTTTGGTGCTGACAAAAAGAATCCCCATTTTGTGCACCATTTAACGCAGTGATCAACCACTGTTTGCAATATAGAATAAGCCTGTTTGTAGTTTTTGTGGGATACCCATATTGCTATATCATCAGCAAAAAGCGAATAGCGGACAGAAAATGTTAGAACACGTGGCAGGAGTAGGAGCATATCGTTCAGGGCAATCAAGAACAGCGTAGGTGACAGCACGCTGCCTTGAGGGACGCCATGTTCCATTACAAAGTCGTCAGAAAGTGTCGCTTGGCAACGAACTTTGAAAGTTCGGGGTTTTAGGAAATTTTGAAGAAACGCAGCCAAATGGCCTCTGATTCCGATTGAGTGCAGCTTATAAATTATCGTCGAACTGTGTACCTTGTTGAAGGCTGACATTAGATCTAGGAAAATAGCAACAGTCGGTCGCCTATGTTCCCAGTTTACCTGGATGTCCGAGATAAGGCGAATGATATTGTCTGCCGTACTACGATTTTTCTGAAAACCGCTTTGACATATATCAATGCAATGGTTGCTCTCAAGGTAAAATCGCAGGCGCCTGTTTACCATTCTTTCGAAAATCTTGGAGACACAATTGGTTAGTGAGATTGGGCGATACGAATTTGCGTCGTGCTGGTCTTTGCCGGGTTTGAGGATAGGTATGATTATACTTTTAAGCCATTCATCCGGGAAGTTGTCCTCAGTCCATAGTTTGTTGAATGCTATCAGTAGTGTGGAAAGGTTAAGTTCGTTCAATTTTGTGAAAAAAGAATATGGAATGGAGTCTGGTCCTACCGAAGTTTTAGTGCTTGCCTTTGCTAGGGATAGTTTAAGTTCTCTTAGGGTAAAAGGAGCATTGTATGGTTCAGAGTTTGCAGAAGAAAAATCAAGATTTACTGTTCTATTAACGAGATTGTGTGATATTGATAATGTTGCAATTATTTTCACATGTTGAAAAGGTATTATATCAATTGAACATTTTGATGTGAAAGGCAAACCTATACTGACTGGTTATTTTTTTCACTGATACTTTGCTCCAAACATAACACCAGGAGTGAATATAGCAGGAGTTGTTCCTTATCCTTTGCAGCTTACAGTATTAGCTGGTATTTATTCACATTCTCACTTTCACATGTTCATATTCTTAAGTACTGTCTCCACGTGTAAACATTTTCGGTTTTTACGTGTTTTAGCAAACGAGAGTTTTGCGCTTTTTTCGCTTTTTAACAGACGCTTTTGCGAGTTTTGCGAGTTTTTCGCTTTTTACGGTTTTAGTTTGTCAGTCTAATCAGAACAATTACAATTTCAGAACAATTTCAATTTCAGAGAAAGAACATCTTTCTCCGCCCTTCGTGCGCTGTATGCCGTAGCCCTCTTTTCCCACAGGGCAGGTATCTGGCGCACGGCTTCTATTTACCCCTCGATTTTCGCTGTAGAGATAGTTATAGGGGTATCATCACGTTACCCTATTGTTATCACCGCTATGACATCAGTTACCTAATTATCAATTATCTGAAATGATCTGATATCGTAATATCTGTTATCCATAGACTTACTATGTAATTATTTGACATTCACATCGTCGGAATAGCAACAGAAGTTATTGGTATGGTTGTCTGAGTACTTGCCATGATCATTGGCTTAACCCGCGCCCCGTAGGGGGGGGCCGAAACGGCCCCCCCTGTCCTTTTCGGTCGATATCTCCTAAACGGCTGGAGATATCGCCACCAAACTTTCAGGACCCCTCCGGGCATCAATTTTACACATTGTGACCAAAAAATTTTCCAGAGGCTATGATAGGTTGGCCACAAATGACGTCAGAGTGACGTCATGTTCTGTCATTTTCGACCGAAAAAAGACCTTCGCGAGAAGACCTGTCAGGACTACAGCTTTGAAGATACAGAAAAATGATTAGGACATAAAAGGTGTAGAATTGACAGGGCTACAAAACTGCTATCTCGAATTTTTGAAATTTTTGAGTTTTGACCCCCAAAAATCAAAAAAGCATTTGTTTGGATATATTCGCCAAAATATCCAAAAAGTTTTTTGAGTTTCGAAAAAACCGGAATATATGTGATAGTGCCTACCGTCTTCTATCTACATACCAAATTTCAGATCGATACCTCGTTTTTTGGCCAAGTTATAGCGAAAAAAACTGTTCAAAAATGATGACGTCAAATTTTCAAACTCAATTTTTGGCAATTCTAGAACTCGTAGAGCAAAACGAAGACCACCATTAGACTCCCCGTGACGAGCTGCATCGAATTGATACCCATTTTATGCAAAAATAGCAACTTTGAAATTTGACCTAATTTGACCTGACCTTGACCTGACCTTCACAAAAACGTGACCTAGGCTGGCCCCAAAGGCTGCCTAACCCACATCGCATTTGTCATGTAAAATGGACCATAAAACATGTATCACACAACACATTCATATTGTGACCCCGGTGACCTGACCTCGCTGTGACCTGACCTGGTATCAGTGACCTCAGATAGCAAAGTATGTGTTTGATGAACAATGTACCATCGATGGTTTTCAATAAATTACCAATTTACTCGCTTTCACAGCACATTTCTTGAATTGCCTGTGAACGGTGAAAATCTGACCTTTGACCTGACCTGTGACGTCATCGGTTTGACCTAGGTCAATGAAATTTGCTCACAAGGTAGTTCCCGGGTGGGGCTATCGAACGCCGTTTGAATTTTGAAAATCGGCCGGTAACTTTCCGAGATCTTAGGGGGGGGGGGGGCCGAAACGCCCCCCCCCCCTACGGGTGGTAGGGTCCGCCGGTAGCCCTACGGGGCGCGGGTTAATCAAATTGCGTTTCATCGCGTTCCACACTTTTCATTGCATCCATTTCACCGTAAAATGGTATTAATAGCAGAAGGATTACCTTCTTAGCCTTGTCAAAAACCGGAAAACTTTCATTCCATCCAAATGTTTGGATAAAATCACGCTTAAGGTTTTACGAGTTTTGCATGACACAACCTGACGCGTTTTACGAGTTTTGCAGTTTTTTGATTGTATGAAGCCACGCGTTTTTCAATTTTTGGTAAATCTTCCGCCGTGGAGATGGCACAGTGTAATTGAATGGCACAGATCAACGCCGGATCATGAAAAACTCGCAAAACATCAAAAAAGCGTTAAAACGTCATTAAAAACGCGCAAAACATGTACCGTGGAGAACGACCTTTATTCACATGCATTCACTCATTCACGTTTTGTATGCTATGAAAATATGTAATCTTTTAAAACATTTCTTTAAGTTACACAAGCAACTAATTAAAAAAAAAACATGTTGAAAGTATTAACATAAACAAACACCTTGAGAACACTGATGAAATCCAGATGATTAGTCCATTATAGAATTAGTCCCATCATACCATTTGAAGGAAGGGTGTCACTAGCAGAAACTAATGACAAAAGGATAGTCATTGACATGTCTTCATCATGTCCACTCTGTTCATTTGTCATAGTGGCAGGTTCCGAATTTGTTTTTAAATATGCTGTGACATTTTATAGATTGTTACAGGCATCTGAACAACAGTTGATGTGTTTTCAGAGTGCAGTGGTGGTGGTAACATCTGATGGATTGAAAGTTACTGTGGAAGACAGCAAGTGTGTGCAGGCAAATGCATTCATACAAGCTGACATGTTCCAGGTATGCTAGTACTTGTAGTGTGGTTGCGCAAAGGTTGACAGTGCCAGTGGACTTGTAAGAAATGAATAAATGTGAGATGACAAAAACACGATGAATGATCATGTGCTCTTCATGCTTGTTATGCATTCAACATCATAACATGTCATAATCCTTACACATACTTTCTTGTTATAGTCCTGTGTCCATAACCCATTTCTTGAATTTAATGCCTTCTTTCATTTTCAGCACCATTTCAGACCTTTTCAAAGAAAATTTTAGCATGGTTGTCTCCTCCTTCTGTAGGTACTAAATACTGTTTGCCGTTTCCATTTCTAGCAATTTGTGCTCAGTCAAGAGACATTGTCCTTCAAGATAAACCTGTCAGTGCTGCTAGAGTGCCTGAACATTTTTGGCTCTGGCGGTACGGCAGGTGCCACCACAGCTCTCAAGATGTGCTATGCGGGAGACGGTCATCCACTCGTAATTGTGTGAGTATGTCACGATCTTCACCGTGCTATTTGAGCGCCGTTGACCGCTACATTCTGCACGCCACACGAGACACGAATCGCAATTTTGATGTTGTTCTGAAAGATCTCGCTTCGTAAGAGTTTACTAGAGCGTCTTTATATACAAGTTCAACCCGTGGGACGTTTGCAATTATTTTATTTTGAAACTGTAAAAGTAATCGTCGACTTTTCTTGTTCAATACCCGTTCGATTCGTCTGCCGTGGCCTTGCGCACATATCGTATGATTGGAAATGCTAGAAAAGACGGTGGAGTTTACCTATAGTGGAATTTACATTTCACGTGTTCACATTATCTTACAGCACCTGAAACGCGATCGCCATCATCTGGAAGCCTTTCGCTCACCCACCCCCTTCAGAACCAAATAGCGAGCGCTGAGTTACGTCAGTTTGGCTCTTACTGCTGCGACGGTCAGCTCAGGAGTCGTTTGCTCTTCCTAAAAAGCTGCTTGGATGAGCGTCATACGCTCAAGTTGCGGGCCTAATAAAAGTTAACATCTTTTCATGATACTAATTGACGTCTTTCACATTCCGCCTAGGCTAGAGGAGAGTGGCGTGCTCACAGACTGCTCCATCAAGACGCAACTGCCGGAGGACACGATGGATTTCAACTTCAACAGCTCCGATGTAGTCAACAAAACAATCATCAGGTAATCAGCTCGGAAGTTTCTCTTCAGTGATACTTTTCCGGTTCAGCTTTCACGAACCTCCGCGATCATCATTTATATTGTTGCCGCTGTTGATTCTGCCGTTGTTTGCCTTTGAATTAATCCGGTATGCATATGGAAGGCGTACTGAACGCTAACATGCACCTCTCTAGGTCTGACTGTCTGCGGGAGGCGCTGGCGGAGATGGACGGCGACTGTGACCTGATGGAGTTGGTGTTTTGTCCCACTCCACCGTTACTGCAGTTCGCCGCCGTCGGAGCCGGTATCGAGTCAAAGGTACTGACACTTAAACTGAGGGGTAGATGTCACTGCAGCTAGGTCTGCTCTTATATGGTACTTTGTATGTACTTTCGTTTTTCAATATACTGTGATGACTAATGACTTCACAATATGTTGTAAAACTGTATTTTTTATTTTCCGTACTAATTACGCAGCGCATAGACCCGGGAACAGGGGGGGGCAGCGGGGGCGCTTGCCCCCCCAACTTGAGAGCCGAGGGGGCGGCGCCCCCTCAACATTGAGGCAGCGAGAAAAGATCTTTCCTCCCTTTTCCGGACCTTTTTCCTTCTTGTTTCCTTCATACATCTACGCATCAACACATGGCATTTTCCTTGCCATCTGAATGGTTTCTGCTGATACAGTAGGTATCGATTTGACAACATCTGCCATTGACTATTGTCATCCCGCTTTGATTTGGGCCTGATCGTGGCCATAAGTTTGGCAGGCCAGATTTTATACTGCACCAGCTTGAGTCAGCTTTGAGAAATACATAACGTACAACGGTGGTAAAATCGTTGCTATTATAGGTATAACACAGTTTACCCGCTCCGGATGTGATGGAGGGGTGTGGGGCAATGAGTGCACTGACGTGGCGCCCTCGGAGGGCCGGTATGGGATTAAAGCTCAGCGACACTAAGGGCTTGTGTGGTGCCTTCGGTTATCGGTAGCACCCTCAGAATCACCGGCGTAGGGCCCACAGAGCCGCCGGTAAGGGGCCTTTAGAGGCACTGGTGTGGGGCCGCCATGCAGGTGCCGGTGTGGGCGCTCAGAGGTGCTAGTGTGATTCTCTCAGAGGCGCCGATGAGGGTCCTTACAAGTTACAGGCGTTGCTGTGGATCCTCATAGACGCTGGTGTGGGGCCGTTACAGACGGGTGTGGGGCCTTTAGTGCTGCTGACGCGAACTCTCTACAAGCCGGCAGGGAGTCTCAGTGACCGGCAAGGGGACCTTACGCCGGCAGAAGAAGTCCTGTGGGGTCCTTAGAGACAGGCCCTCATAGGCGCCGACGAGGGCCCCACAGTTGCCGTTATGGGGCCCTCAGAAAATTAAGTGTGGGACCATCATAGGCGGGAAATGCCCCTAGAACTGGCACCTCATAGGCCGGTAAGACCTCTCAGAGGCCAGTAACGGGCCTTTGGAGATCACCAAGGTGTCCTTAAAAGCCGCAAGAGGCCCTCAGACGCCGGCGTCGGACCCTTATGGAGATCTTAGTGTGGCTATTTAGGGCCCATGAGGTGCTCTGACGAGCCCCATGGGGCCCTTCTGAGTAGAAATATGGCCATCGTTAACCCTCAGCGGTCAAATGGCGCCGCAGGGCCCCTCGGACCCGAGGGTCCCCTTTATCCCGATGGGGGGGGGGGGGTACGTGTCCCCTTAGACCCCTAGCTACGCCACTGTTTCATATGCATCATGTCAGGTATTTTAGGCTCGCCCCCCCCAACTTCAAAATCGTTCCCGGGCCCCTGACGCAGCGAAACATTTTTTCACCTAATTGGAAGTAAGGGCTGAATGACTGTCGCACCACGTGCACTGGCGTGGCACAGGTGGAGGTGGCGGGCGACTCGGACCTGGTCGAGCTGTTCCAGTGCCCGCGCACCAGCACCAGCCGCTACCGGCTCGCCCTGATGAAGCTCTCGCTGAAGCCGCTCGCCCAGTCGCAGAAGGTGTCGCTGCGCACGGACGCGCGTGGCTTCCTCTGCCTCCAGTACATGATCAAAACGGACGACGGACACATCTGCTTCGTCGAGTTCTTTGTGAGTTTTGTGGGTCGACAATGGTATGAAATGGGAGGAGAGCTGGATCGTCACCATTTACCGTGTCATTTCAATGTCATTCACGTAGCAACCCAGTTTACTGACTTTAAAGAGTCATTTTATTTCAGAGTGGGTCTGATAATTCCATTCTATATATCTATTACACGAGCCAACAATTCCCGTATATAATGCGTGATAAGCTTTTGTGATACCTGATATCGAAATTTTCAGTGCTTGGCACATAGATTGTGTCAGGAATCTTAATGGAGAAATCAGGATTCTTAATGGAGTAACTCGTCCTGCTTCGTAAGCATTTTGATTCCTAACATCATAAGTAGTTTCAGCATAGCGCAGGAAGCTAACGTCTATTGTGTGTGTTTACAGTGCTCTCCAGAAGAGGATTGAACACAGCTGAAGCTACCATTGTTATCTTTGTTGTTCATTCATGAATCGTCATTGTATATTATCTCCATACCATTCCATGTTTTTATATGAACACGCAATATATGATCCATTACTTGTATCACTCAAGCCTGTCATTCGACGCACCGAAGACAACTTTTCATCCACGACTTATTACAAGACGAGTAAGTGAAAGGGTGCTTCTAATCGATAGGATTTTGGATTTTGTGTGCCGAATTGATCATCGTTCATGTCAGAGGAGTCATGTTTTGCGATTATATCAAGGATAGACCAGGAGGCAAAGATGCATCGAAATATCAATCAAAGGTGAATAAATTGAAACATTCAACTTTCATAAGCATGTCACCGTCAAAACACAGGAGCTGAAACATCATTATATTGAAAGCGCCCCATGCTGACATACATACACCACAGCATTCCGAAATATATAAGGACTACAAGCACGTGGATTCGATTGGTGTCGTTGCCAACGGCGATGCCCGGTGAGAGAATGCATCCCTACACAATGTCTCATTCCACATTTATGGAACACGCACGCACATACTCATGATACAGCTAATGTGCCCACTACACAGAGAAGGCCGCTCATGTCATTCGTTATCGCGCAGCGACGTGAGGTACTGTCGGGTACCCAGATCTGGGCGGAATCGAACGCCGCCGCCTTACCCTGACATACACAGATCCAATACATACATATATTGCCCGAGAGATTCAGAATATAAAAATACGCAGCAACAGATCGGCAACCAGCAAGGACACAGGCCGGGCGGGGACATGGAACACGACGCTGCACGCTCGAGACTCGAATGGCACGCGTTTATAAACGCACACGTGGAACATATCTGTCAGCGGTAAGTCGCATCACAGTTGTTGGACTAGGTTCACAAAAGTCGTTACATCGCAGTGAGATGCGGCTGGAGGAGAGACTTAAAGTAACATCCGCGCACCCTTCCTTGCACCAGACAACAGCCGTACTGATTGAACGCTGCAGATACTATAATGAATGTGAGCATCGAATTGGAACCAGAGATAGACATCTAGGTGGGAGATAACCAATTAATTGAAACAAGAAATTACTGTTGAAATACATGCTTTGCAATGCACAAACCCCAGCGTCAAAGTGCATCTTGATTTAACACGGTTCGATAAGGTTGAGACAAGCGAGAATGGGGCAGGCACACAGGTACGTTGTTGGTAACAAACATGAACCAGCTGATGAGCCACTCTTAGTCAGGACTGCCTAAACTTGACACTAGCTTCTTCCCCGCTACCTATGCATAAACGCTAAGCAAAAAGAAATAACTCAATACGCATATCAAAATAATACGCTACACTGCTACTATACGCGAGTGTATTATCAGCTATTCGAGCAACTAAGAAGAGCGTAACAGTTTAGAGGATATTCAAGGATAGCTAAAGTAAACCCCATAGAGCGTACCAAACAAAACGACCTTGACCTAAATTGTATAATTATTGCACTGGGGGAGTTTTGTTCGCAGCGTCCGATATGAAAGTGTGCAAGAATGCGGACTAATAATAGAAAACAACAATTTCTATACCCATTATCTAAATAAGCACGCCAAGCCGCCAATGCTCCAGTAATAGTTGCCTGCTTGCCAAAAGTTGTACACATGAAAAGCAAAAGCGCAAAAGCGTGCAACACAACCCCACAATCAAATAATGCCAATGCGTGTCTTGTGCGTGTCATTCACCTCATCGCAACGTATCACATTCGCCCAACTGGCCACTGATTCCTTCAGGGAAAGGAAAAGTCGGTCCACGTCCAGCCTCCATCGGATCTACGGGGACTCCAAAGGCATGCGGCGATGCTGGAGTCAAGCCCGGACAAACATGGAACACCGACAGCTCGTGTCTGCCCTTACGATACCTGACACCCAAAATATGCATTTGTGTTCGGGGATACGATCACTACGGGAATCTAACCAGCAGCTGAACTACGACAAACCGGAATGGACACCAGAGGTACCGTTAGGCCGGCGTAGTGGTCGGTGGTGAGTCGGTGACCACCAGAGGAGTGGCTCAGCGTGAACCACGTGCCACCGCGACAATCATCTATCCCTCTTTCGATGGCACGGACCGCCCGCGCGTGATGACTCACTACCTGGCCATCTGAGTGGTTCCGTCGGGTAAGGACCTCTTGATCTTCCCAAAACCTCTGTGCGCGACCTCTACTGGGCGTCCTCAGGGACCGTGGCGCTGTGACCGTTGCTGTCGGCACCGTCTCCTGCCGTGGAGTCGGTTGGCGAAGTGAGGTCCGTGTCTCCCACTGGCTCGCCGCCCGGCCGTCGGGTCACGCCCTCCGGGTCACCGGCGTCCGATGGTGTGTCGGCTCCCTGTGACGGGGGGGGGGGAGTCAGGTCACACTGAGAGAGAATAAACGATGAGGAGACTCATTCGATCTGTCCATGACCGATCGACTCCGATTGCATAGAGGCTGAATATCCGCTAGTCCTGTAAAAAATGATTGTAAGTACAGTCATTAGCATTCTCATCGGATCCAACATTTAAATAAATATTCAAGGTTTAATTCTGTTGGTAGTGCAATGCTCCTTCTTGCCATACGAACGGGCGATTCCAAGTCGGACCCTCCAGGTTGAACGAAATTACTTTCGAAATCGATTACGATTAAAATCGGGGCAGGTTGAATAGATGGCTAGATTCTAATTCAACTTCATGTCCAATGGAATCAAACAGACAGCTGACGAACACGTATTGGAAAAAGTCGCAGCAACCTTTTCATGAAATTGAAAGTAGCTTTATTAGCAGGAGCCGTTGAGCTGTGAGCACTGAGCATCTAGCATGCATTAGAAAGTTTCTGGCGTAGTTTGGGATGTAATATGCTTTCTTATAGGATACACGATGCAAAAAAAGAAAAGAAACTTACTGAGCAGGGCCAGTTCATGAAGTGAATTGATATTTAAATCGGATATGGACTATAGTGAAGTCAAACACTTATTTGTGACCACGGAACTAACGTCAACCGAAACATTTCGTTACCTTCTCGACTGAATGATGCATTCCGCCGCTACTGTAACGTGTGCAGAGTGTTGGGCCGCTATTGTACCGTGTGCAGACTCCTGGGCCGCTATCGTACCGTGTGCAGTGTTCTGCCGTTACTGTACTGTGTGCAGAGTGCTGGGCGATATCGTACCGTGTGGTGGATCGCTACCGTGCCTTGTGCAGTGTTGGGCCGCCATCGTAACGCATGCAGAGTGTTGGGCCACCATGTACCGTGTGCGGTGTTGGGCCGCTATTGTACCGTGTGGTGGACCGTTATCGTACCGTGTGCAGAGTGTTTGGCCGCTGCTGGATGTTGCCGTCGATCAGCTGCTGGTGAATGTTGCAGATGGTGACCGGCGTCGGCGGCTCCTGGGCCGGCTCCTGACCCGGCTGGTGGTCGGTCAGCTTCGCCGGACGCCGCGCCCGCTCTCCCTGGCGCCACAGGGTGATCTCCTACCGGCCAGCGTGACCGAGGTCAGTCCGAGAGTGGGGACATGGGACAACCGGTGGGATGGGGCCAACGGACGTGGCATAGGAGAGCTGAACTGGGGAGATAGCCGACATTGCGGGTCAGCCCGGCTTAGGAAGAGTTATTCTAGATACCTTCATTTACAAAACAGCTAGATTCTCGACTGAAATACTTCAGAAGAAGAACTTATAACATGAAAACCCTTTGATTTAAATGGCAAATGGAAGCCAACAACTACAGCATGTTCCATCCATCCAGTCCAGGCGCACTGACCTGCTGTTTGAAGTACCTCCGGTCCTCCACGTCCACCAGCACCAGGTTCAGGTAGTAGCGCACCGAAAACTTCTTGTTGATGTCGCGCATCGTGGGCGTGAGGTCGTAGCCGGCCAGGAACACGCGGATCGGGATACTCTCGCCCCGCACCGGCGCGCCGTCCATGATCTCGTACTTGGCGATCGTCTCGTTTTCGTTGTAGGTGCTGGGACCTGTTGGCCAAGCGAAGGGAGAGGATGAGTTCAAGACTTCTTTTGTTTTAAATTCGAGTGCACCTAACATCCATAGCTCATGTTCCACCCACGGCCTCAATAGGAAGCGTGAGGTGACTCATGGAAGCAAAACTGGTATTGCGGCTGGTCTGAGAAGTTCTCATTTTAAATTGAGCGGGGCAAACCACACCACATTCGCTCCCTTACATTGCATAACCTGGCGCAGAAATGTCCGTGCGACTTACCTGCGCCCGTGGTTTCACGCTTGATGATGGCAATTTCCATGTGTTTGATTTTTATCCGCACCAGCAGAAAGTAGATCTTGCCAACAATGACATCCTTCAGGTGATACCTGAAACAGTGACGAGGACTTTAAAAGGAGACTGGGTGTGTAGAGCTTAGAACAGATGCAAGTCTGACTTGCCGGCAAGACCAAAACAACGCAAAATTATCGCACAGAGGAGACAGCCACAACTCACTTGTGAAAAATTGTACCCTGTACGAGTCAAATCTTGCAAATCACAGTAGAAGAGAAGCAAATGGAACAAAAGATATCTTCCAGTCCGGATGTCAGGTATCATCAGTTCTCGCGGGTGATTTCGCTGACTGAGGCGCTACAACACCAGCGACATCACTTTTACTGAGGTGGCGCCACCGTCGCGGTCCGTGTCAACCGTCGCCACGTCAGAGCAACTATCGCACCATGATGTCGCGACTAAACGGTTCGTTTGCATGACAAAATAGCATAGTGATCGCATGGTGCGACTTCGCTTCTCCTGTTCATGGGGGTGAGGATGAATCGTGACTCGTGAGATGGGGTCTGGGTGTCCAAACTGCAAAGGCCATTTACAAACGGAACGTTCGCCGCAACTCACTTGGACTTGTTGTACTCGAACTCGATGTGCAGGCAGTCCTCGATGCCGACCTCCATTTTGATGCTGGTGTTCATGTCCGGGTACTGGGAGAGCGTGTGAACTGCTATGTCCATCTCACGAACCAAGTCGGACAGGCGACGCACGATCGTCACGCGCAGAAAGTACCTGAGCGAGAGAACAACGCGACATTCTTATGCACGATGTTACCCACGGTGTCAATCCGCGAGGTTGCATTTCATCGACAACGACCATTATTAAACACGTTATTGTCTGTAAACCAAAAGGATCATCTCCGGGACCAGATAAGTAGGTATTTGAAGTTACCAATGGTACTGGCATCCTTGACAGATCATAAAAATATAGGCACAATTCAAATGAAATAGCAATATCGATCATTACTGAATGCTTCTGGACGATGTGGTCATAACATTCAATGAATTAAACTCATCAAAACCAAAAATTACAATTCGTACAATTTACAAAGCATACTTTTTGCGGTTGCTGTTGGCTGCAATGTTCTCTACTGTTTGGGTGTGTCTCAGAAAACCTAACATTACAATCACAGCTTGTTAATACGTCATTTACAACAACAATCTATCGAAGTGCTGCTCACCTGAGCCGAACGTTCGAGCCCGAGTAGCTCTCGTACGGCTTTTCGACCTGGCTGAACTCGAACGGGTAGCTGACGTTCTGCTGCAGCTCTCCCGGCCGCGCCAGCTCCTTCACCAGTGACAGGAACTCGTGCTGGCCTCCGCGGTCATACTGCAGCTCTATCTGACCAACGAACTCCACCTTTATACCAAAGTGTTCTAGTTTAGAGCCAGCCTTCTTCAGAGTAATGATGACCTGTGAAAGACATATGAATTTGCATGAACCAAATGGGCTGTGAAAAATGAAAGAAAACTTGAGATTGACACTACAATGACAATTGAACATGCTGATTGTAGATGCCATGACCTCAGTGAAAGATAATTTTATGAAAAAATGTTAAAAAGTGGATGGAAGATTTTCCAGCCTGAAATGAAAACAGTAATCACTGTTTTCAGCTCTGTTAGAACAGAACAACCACCCTGCTTCACTATTGAGATGGCGCTGACAATATTAATACCACTAACCTTGCCGCTTATGGTTTCACCGTCAAAGAAGAGGTAATACCTCTCCCTCTTTCCCTCTTCAGACTTGAGTTCTGCCATTTTCCTGGTTTCTGCTCCATCGAGGACTATGTCGATCTCAGCACTTTGGCCAAATCCAAAGAAGCTCTGAAATGAATGACAAACATTCATCATGTGCATTCACCAGTGTGATAACCCTGCACTAGAGTCACCCATTAAAAGTCACATACTGTGTACATTCTAGTCAGCAGATGGTGCCATAAATAATGCTGAATCAGACAATGCTATCTTGAGAGAAGTTACTTCTTTCAAACCAGTTGGTGCTGAGTTCATTCAAATTATGAAAGTAGAGGGTATAAATAAGCACTTGACAAAATTGCTTTTCACTTCACAATAATCTATGCTACATTATTACACTATTTCTGTCAGTGATCCATGATGGTATCTGCATAATGAACCAATTTTAACAAAACAAATGAGGTTTACTGTGAGTTAACAGGTCTGGAAAGAAACAAGTAACACTGATTGTTAATTGGAAATGTGTGATATTCAAATAAGATCATTTGCAATCTGAATTGCAAAATTCTGAGGACAGATTTGGAGTTCATAACCTGGTACATTTTTAGCAGTGAATAATGACATCTTGAAATGTATGATTGCTCTTGTCGGAAAACTTGAGGTGCACAAATAGATATGGTGTTAGACAAGTAATGTGAATGAAAAAGCAAAAATGAAAGCAAGACAGCAAGAGTAAAGTGAAACTGTCGGTTAGTCAGTATTACATTTATTGATCGAGGCTTTGTGTGCTGTTAAAATGCTTAAAAGGATACGGAAGGGATCCGCTTCAGCTTATTTCACAGTGAAGGTGCCTCTAAAAAATGAATTAAAAAAGATAACTCACCATTTTTGTTTTGAAATGGAAGAAATCGTACTTGACGAACTTATTAGCGAATTAATAGCTGCAACGGGCTCAGGGCAGTCTTTGATAGCCAATGCTGACGGCGCGACGTTGCGTTCACACGTTGAGAAGCCTTTGAAACACGTTTGACACAAGCCAGGACAAACTACAAATGTTTGTATGATAAGCTGAAGATTTTTAACACCACGGAAATATAATTATTGAATTTAAACTGATTACTTAGCGCATCAAACATCTATTATATGTGTTCTTCACCACACACACTAGTGCGGGACAGCCGGGACAGAGCCGGGACAAAATGTAAACACTAATCTGCGTACAACTATGGCGTGCTTGCTACATATCTTAAGGAATGCCGCCACTAAATTGTATAACACAATACACACACGTGCCAAGCTGGCGCATGCGGGGATATTGCAATAGGAACGTACATTTTATGATTTTTCATTGCAATTTTTATGTGCATTAAGTCGGTTGACGGTAGAAGTAGACAGTAGTACCAGACGTTGGTGCTTATGGATCCAACCAAATTCACACAAAACATTCGAACATCGCACGTGCATCCGCCATAGGCGGCGGAACGGGGAGGGCACCGGGGCACAGTGCCCCCTTTGATTTTGACATTTTAACATTAGCCGGTAGCCCTATGGGCGTTGCATGGAAAGAATGGGACCAAAAGTCGACAGTGCCCCCCCCCCCCTTAATTGAAGGTGTTCCGCCGCTACTGGCATCCGCATACTGATACCGTGGATTAGATAATAATTTCATTATCTCATCCGTGTTATCTCATCCATGCTGATACCCACGGGTGATACTGTGACCCGTGGGGCATTAATATGCTGAAGTGAATTACCCAAAGCTGAGTAGGTAGTAAGTTGAGTCCAATATTCGCCATCGGACATTCGAAAAGTATTCAATTTTTGATGTTCTGCTGCTGATATTCCCTGTTATACTGGTGAATAGCTTCTTTCGCTTTCCCTTTTGAAGCAATGAGGCTGTTCCCAATGCCTTCAGGTATGAGGTAGGTATATGACAGAAGACAAGATGTATGAAGCCACGTTGTATGAATCTACTGCTGCTACTGCATGGTCAGTTTTGATTTAGGGCTTTTTGTGATGCCTCTTTCAGTGCTACAGTACAGACTCAAAATTATATTTAAATGCCATATTTATTTTAGCATCATCTGACGACGTTCCATCACGGTTTTATTCAGCGCGGTCACAGCGCGTAATCCTGCAGCAGTTAGGATGTAGGGGCAGCTCTAGTCACAGTTACCGCTGCCCTGTCCAAGTAATCCCCAGAGCTCTTATCTCCCGTTCGTTGCGAGTGGTATTCAGCGTCGCTGAATGCCCAGAGCTGGCGCACCGGCAAAACTCATCGGACATTCCATTTCACTTGTGCATGCCTGACCATGTTATAAACGTTTCTCAATATTAGACGCAAATCGCTTGCAAAATATCCTGGCACACCACGCCGACGCTGGATAAGCACAGTACAAAGTTGCACCTATTCTGATCTAATCAACGTTTATTTACTAAGGGTGTATTTTGGCATTGGTCAATAGAGTCATGGACATGCGAGGACATCTGCCGCTACCTAATACCTACACTGAATCGTCTAATGAAATTACTACTGACCTACTGACATTACATTATGCACATATCTACAGCAGTAGCCGAACTAACTAGAAGAGTGCAGGTCTGTCCTCAAGCTTAAAACACTCGGTTACGCACAGGCTGTCTTTCGTGCTACACCATTGCAGTTTGCAATGCAAAACTAGCAATGGCCCCGGGTCAATCACTACAGCCATCGTCCTTTGAAACAGCCATTCGCAAGCTCAGTTACATGTACAGCGTAAATGTTTAGGTCCTCAATCCACAAACTCCAATGCTTTTGTCGCCAATCGTTCAAACCATGGATGCGGTGGAATGAGGAAACTCAATAAAACGGTAATGGCTCATACAGTAATTAGTGAAACCCGATTTTACGTCGTCCCTTGAAACGCATTTCATGTCACATAGATGGCCCGGTCCTGGATGGCCGATGGGTAAGCTGTCTTCGCTTCCGAAGAATGCAGACGTTTCCTGCCGTTTTAATGTCTTTTTCACTGTTGCTACATATGCTCCGTATTCGTTTAACCTGAGCGGCAAGATCTCTTATTAATTCGTTTTATTGGCCCAAGTTTCGTGTAGCGTGGAGTGTTCCCACACGTTCTCTCATCTTCCCTGCCTCCCTTCCTCCGCCTTCTCACGCACCCCTGTCCCCTCCTTCCCCAATCGACCCCTCTGCGTTACCCCAGCTCCCTTCGGGCCGACCTTCCTGATCACTTGACCTTGATCATCGGACCCTTCCAGTCAGTCTTCCCGGGCGACTTTCCGAGCCGATTCGTTGCGACGTTATTCAGCAGTCTCAGCTCGACGTTCCTGTGGAGGTCGGTCTTCTTCTCTCTGTACTCGAGTCGCTGCGGGGAGCCGGCCGCGCTGCCGCCGCGGTGTCGCTCCGAGCTCTGCCAGTCCCAGCTGGGCAGCGCGCCCCACATCTCGTCTCGCTGCGCCCGGTCCTCGGCCGAGTCGCCCGCCGCCAGGAAGTTGGCCGCCCACATGCCGACGCCGCGCAGCTTCAGGCTGGCGGCGCCCATGTACTTGTACGTCAGGCTGGTCGAGTTGTCGAACCACACCTGGTGCGTCATGTTCCAGTTCTCGAACTGAAGGCGCAAGGATGGAGGGTCAGTTAGAGGCAATCGTCGACGGCTGCAGTTCCGAACACACTTTTCAAACAAAATGAGTAGAATGAACCTTGTGGGACTGATTAGCCTAACAGCTCCCATTAAATTACCAACAACTTTCACCAGGGATTAAAATAACGACTTCATATTCACTAACAACTACACAATAGGGATGGTTGAGGCGGTTCCACAATACATTGCCCAGCATACCACGCCAAAGAGCATTCTTAGACACGCCGCCAGTCGCGTCCCACCTTGACATTGAAGTAGGGGGACTGCGAGGCGTTGGACCAGAACCTCTCCAGTGCGTACTTGCTCCACACGGCCAGTCGGCTGAAGGGCCGCTCAGTGCCCGCAGCGTCGCTGCAGCTCACCTTGCGGAAGGGCACGCGCTCGATGGAGCACCGGGTGCCGTTCTGAGGGTGGCAACAGCGAGAGACGGCGTCGTGAGGGCCACTGTGACTGTGCGGCATAACGAGTCATATGCTCTGGTGTTTTGGAGGCATGCGTTTTACGTAAAATGGCCAAACACTGACTCAACGAATATTGTCCTCGCATGAAACTGAGAGGCGCGTGACAGGCTGAAGGTAACTGTAATTCATTTCATCATATCAGGAATCTACACACAGGCGTCCGTGACAATCCACTGTATTTAGGAGCGTATTTTTGTGAAACGGCTTTTGTGGGTCACGGAGCAAGAGGCGGCACGCTTCTCACAAAGGACGGCGACGGCGGAACTCGGCATTCATGTAGCGTATTGTGTGGGCCTAAGATGCATGGAATTAGAGGGAAAGACCGGACGATAGAGAGCTTAAGTTTGTTTGAGATTGGCCGTACTAGCGAAATTAGATATCATCCTACGAAGTTTTGCTGCTGCCAATGGAGAACGGGTGGTCTCCTCACTTTTCGCTGAGACAATTTGTACACGAAAGCTCCGTTACTAATGGGGTTGATGAAAGCGTCTATTGTCAGTATTCTGCTTAGCGTGACGTTACCAACACAAACGCCAGCGACCTTGACCCCGGGGAGCGCCCTTACGTTGGTGACGTTCAGGCAGGGATAGTCGTAGCCGTACCACGGCACGCCCAGCACCAGCTTGTTGGCAGTGATGTTCAGCTGAAGGTACTTCCTGACGCCGGCCAGAGTCTGGTTCAGGGGTGCGTTTGCTCTGAGAGAAAAGGAACAAAACTGTCAGCTTCAAACACGCCTTACCTGTGAAATGACGGAACTGTTTTTTTTTTGGGGGGGGGAAGCGCATATAGTTATGCTCGATAAGCTAACGTAGCGAATTAGGACGTATTTGCGCTGATAGGCGAGTCAGCTCAATCGTCACGTACCCAGCGATGCAGTCGTCGCTGTGCACCTGGCTGCGCAGGTCATAGCCCATGACGAAGAACATGTCGGCGTGCCGCTGGAGGCCGACGAAGTCGTAGCAGCGGCCGTCGATGCAGTCCGGCGACCAGGGCACGTCCACGCTGAGCTGTGCGCAAGGCGAAAGGAGAGGGACGGGTGAAAAATCTGAGCAGGGTGGACGGCGGAAGGCAGTGGTGAAATAACTGAGCTGCAGTACGACGAAAGGGAAGGGTGGGCGATGCTGATGCTGCCCTGGGGCGTCCCCAGACACGGAACAGCGGGCGTTACAGTCCGAGATGGTGAAATGATAAACACACAAAGCGAGTCTGGAAAACGCCGTCGGTGATGTCACGTCCGGTTTACATGATCAAGGAAGATTTATCATAAATACACTGTCTCATTGCTAATCTATGGAAACTCAAGTTCAAGATCACAAGCGACTGTTCAGTGTGCCTGAGTGTGGTCTACATGCTTACCACCGTCATCACGTTGTAATCCTGCAGTGCCTTGCGCGTGTCGTTCATCAGTTGCACGAAGGCCTGCCGGGCCGGCTCCTTGGCGTCCATCGGGTCCTCGAAGTCGACGTTGATGCCGTCCAGGTAGTGGAAGCGTGTGTAGTTGACGTGCTCGGCCACCCACTGGGCCCGGTACGTGGCGTTCGTGACATTCGCCTTCAGGAAGTTGGCTGCCGGAGAGATCAGAGCGAGATGGAGATGAGAAAAGTGGACGACTGTTGCCGCGATTATAGCGATGTCCTGGGTGAATTTTATGAAGCAAGTTCAGAGCCTTTGATGACAAAGCCTTTCAGATTTAGCAAATTCAGACGAACAAATCGGTGAATGATCTACGCTTTCAGTCACAGGCATTCAGGGCATTGGTAAGGAGCATTGACCGACAAAGTAAGTTTTAATAAATACCTGTCACGTTTCTGGTTATCACCCAGATTAATTTCGTCACACTGAAGAAACAAAATGACATTTTAATGACCAAACAACCTGCCGCCTGCACGGCATGGTAGCAGCTCCCGAGCGGAGCTGACTGCTGCCAGCGGGTCAGGCCCGCACCAGTCGTGCAGACAATGGCACCATTAGTGACACATTAGCCACGAGGCCTCACCAGCGGACGGTGACCGGTGCCAGTTTCACCCTCATGCCGCTGTGCACGGTGATTCCGTCTGTGAGGGAGTGCAGTGTTATCCGTGCAGTGTATCCGTTTGGCACGGGGATGAAGGGCAGGATCACTTGTCCACTTTCTGAAGCAAGGATGACTCGATGATTGCATGAGGGCTTATCTGTCTAGAATGCTTCTCGTTTCTATAGGTTGAAGAGTTCAGTTGTAGTAGGTACAGACGTGCTCCAATGTCAATCAGCATTAAAGCCGGCACTATCTTTTATATATAATTATACAGGTGCTCAATAACCCATGTTCAACGTTTTGGTAAGTGGTAACTGAATAGCCGAATACAGAGTATTCAAACAAACGAACAAGCAAACAGGCAGACAAAAAGCCAAATACAAACAAACAAACAAACAAACAAACAAACAAACAAACGAACGAACGAACGAACGAACGGTACCTTTATTAGCCACACCTTATCATAACGACCTTCCCCGAAGGAGAGCCTCGAGTGGCCCGTTACCTACCGCCAGGCTTCACAGAACAATGTTATAATTTATATGGTGTATTGTTCCGGGTTTTTGATGGCACAATATGCCTGAGGCCGGTTCAAGTGGTTAAAAGTATAATAAGCTCCTAACAATGACAGGCGCCACCGTCCAAGTGATGTGATAAAGCCGTTTAACAGTGCTGGAAACAACTAATTGGTTTAGCACTGTCTAAAATTCGGACACCTGTGCATTGCTGCAATAAAGAATACTATCACAAGGAAAACATACTGTCATGGAACTAAGCACTCCCTTTAAAACTCATTGATTTTAGTCAAATAAAACTTCGCTTATGTGTTGGGCCGCGTGTGTGCAGTCAACCTCAGCAGTACCGGCACCACAAAAATGCGTGTCTAACGAGACATGGAGCATCGGCAAAACCAACCAGTGCCAGGTTGTTGGCTGGAACCAAAGAAGCTGATGAATACTTCTCAGAGCTGGCTCTGGCAGGCGCTCCCTCCATAGTTCAGCATTTGATGACCCGAACAGGGGACTCCACCCTTGAAATCGCTTTCTAACGATCGGTGTCGAACTCTCGGCGCGAAGCCGCCTCAGGAAAATGAACATAGTTTGAGCGATGTACGGCACTGGCAGAGACCAGTCTCGTCTCTCGCCACTGTTCTGTAAACTCGCCAGGCGCTGCAGGGGCGTTCCACGACAAATCGACAAGTGCCCTGCACCCTCATATTTTATTTTTTTGCTTAAAATTGGTCTAATGGGTTGTGATGGGCGGGGAAGCCAGCTGTGGCAAGGATTTTTTTCTTCGAACAACGGTTTCCGAGATATACAGGGTGTTTCACTAAAAGTGTCAAAAAGTAAATGCTTATTAAAGGAAAAGGGCCACCTTTAACATGGGGATTGAAACTGAGATAGCCATCTTGTAGCCCGTGTCCGAAAACCTACTTGTCTACCCCCTTACGGCCGATTTCGGCCTCCATTCGTAGTTATCGGCAATTTTAAAAGAAAATATGCCAGGAATGCGTTCTTATCCCAGGAATGCGTTCTTATCCGACAATACAGCCACCCGCGGCGAGGCTTTGGTTTTTAACCAATCAGCTTGCAGCAGTACTGATCAGGCACGGATCCCTGTACTAGCGAGCAGACCACGAGCAGTTGCGTTATTTTTCGTTGTCTGTTCTGGCAATCGGCCGGCGGATGAACATCCGCAATCGAATCTTGAAATCCGTCGCGCTGATTGGTGATGAGTTTCATGAGCTACTTTCATGAGGTCTATGAAAGTAAACCTATGCTATGCCCTGAACAGATGACATCTCGTTTGGTAGCCAATTGCTAAAATGTATTTTCATTTTACGCAAGGCAGTATATCATTTCAATTTATACCGTGGCTCTGATCCGAAATCAGGGCATTTTTGTTCGAACAAATACCTATAATAACGATGAAGAAGTGCGTGATCCGCGGAGCAAACGACCTACGTCGGGTCGGGACTGATATGCGTGTGACTGTGCACAAGTAAGTAGGTACCTAGGTAGGTACCTAAATTCTTATTTATTGCAATGGCTCTTCTATTACTTTTGTTTTCACAGAACTCTCCCCTGGATTAGCAAACCCTTATGAACTGTTCAGGCTTTCACAACTGAAATGCCAGACTGGATAAAAAACAAGTTATGCCGAATATGTCATGCCAAGTGGCGTGATTGCGGCGTTGCCCCGAAAATTTCATCGCACATCCAGCATAATTTTGCATGCGTCAAATTCAGCGCATGGTGGCAGCTGAATTTTTAGGCGCAGGGTGACCGCATGGCGCATAATGTTTATGCAAATGGCTGTCACCGAATTTTTTGACACGCTGTGGTCAATCTAGCAGCAGACTTGCCCTGCGAGCGCTGGCAGGTCTGAAGAGAGTCGGAACTTCCGGCCTGGGCCTTGTTTCACCTTAAGATTCTACAGTGTGCCACACAAATTGTGGTATTGGGTTTTCATGGGAACATTAACTAATTCAGACGCTCAGAAAGGGAAGAGCGTCTGACTCCGAGGCCCCGGAACGATCTGTCTGGTTGATATAGCCTTGGTCGGTAGATATGCACATGTGCTTTATGTAAAAGTGGCTTAATTTTGGTGCAAACAGGCACCCAACTTTCAGTGGAAATCATGCACTGGAATTTCAGCTCAAAATTGCTTGCTTCAAATTTTGGCGCATGAGGGGCTCACGGGCATCTGGCGTAGTGTATGGATGTTTTCCAGTCTGGCTGAAAGGCAGAACTCAGACACATTTATCCAGCCCTTCAAATCCCATTTCCTGGTTGTGGTAACACCTACCGTAAAATGGGGTGTTAGGGACAGTGGGGTGTTAAGGGACAGTTGCATGGGAAAAACTTTGAGTCATATTAACTCCCTAATTTGAGAAGGTTCAATAAAAACTTCAGTGTGGTAGTTGACACTGTTTTGCTCTTGACCATAGGACAAAATGGTATGGTTTTTCATGCAAGTGATTTGGTTCAAAAATGGATTTGAAAATCATGCTACATTTTCACAAAATTGAAACATCTCCAAAACTCTGTGTGTACCACATAAACTAGTGGGTGTACAGGGAAAATGAATGCATAGGTGTATTGTCACATGTATTGCACATGTTTCCTGAAAAACTTGTGCAAATCCACCCATTCATTCATCATACTCTTCCTCTTTTCCGGATACATGCATATTTTGAGGTAGATGTGGGGTGCTACGGGACAGGGAAGAAAAAATAAAAGATGATATCTAAATATAATTTCATTAAGTTTTCTTTCAGTAGGCATCAAAAACACCAAATTCCACATAAAATGCTGGCAAGTTCATGCTTTTATCTCTAACACATCTTAAGTTATGTAACAAAACATCTCAACACTCTTTTACAATGGTGGGTCAACGGAGACTGATGTAGGTAAATGTGATTTCATCATAAAAAGGCTAAAACAAAGAGGGCAACATAATGACAAGTGACTAGCTTCAACATTGGCTTTTATTGATGACAGAAGGGTACTTTATGGTTCTGTTTACCTTATAATTAGCACATTTTCCAGAAGCGTAAACTGCATTACACGTAATTGGCTAAAAAGGTCATTAGTGGTGAATGAGCCTGACTTGTTTTGTGACAGAATATGCAAAACATTTCAATAAATAAATTGTGTGCCCTTCCACACCCCAACTGTGGGCATTTGATGACCATTTCTTGGAATAAGATAGGTGTCCCCTAACACCCCACATTGGGGTGCTAAGGGACAGTGATGAAAAATAACAAAAAATAATATGCAGGCATAAATCTTAAAAACTTTAATGTGACAGGCATGTAAAGCACCAAATTCCACATAAAATGCTGACAATTTGATGCTTCTATCTCCAACCCTTCTTGAGTTATCTAACAATACACCTCAAAACTGTCCCTTAACACCCCATTTTACGGTACCTTTCCATGGGGGTTTGGTTCATCTCTTGTCTACACAGTTTTCTTTCACTTATGTGCTGACAAGAAAAGGAAACTCACCAGAGCCCAGTTTCACCAAGTGCGGTAAACTCAATTTGGGGTAAACTACCAAACTACCCCACTACTTAACTACAAAAACTACCCCAAAATTAAGTTTACCGCACTTGGTGAAACATGGGCTCAGTGGAGCTATTCAGCTTAATACACAGAGTATGTGTTGCATGGACTAAGCATGTGTTGACCCTTTTTTACTTTTAGGTTTCCGCTAAAAAAAGGAGTACAGAGAAAAGTGGATGAGGGTGTGTGGCATGACCCATGAGCCAAGACCACATGACCACTTAAACTTAACAAGAAGTGCGCACCATGATAAGCACAGTCAAAAACGTTTGCGTCTAAAGAACAGTGCTGTGCCGGATCAGAATGTAAGTTATTTTTTAAAAGTGATGAAAATGCCTGCTATATTGTTTTAAAAAAAAGTTATCAAAAGACTTTGAATATTGTTTTTGTAACACTTCACTCTAAAGTTATTCCTAGTACCAGACATTACAGCTTTAGTGCAGAGTCTTTATTTGTGATATTTTTAGCCAAAAATTATTACT